GGCGCTGGGCTCTGACCCGCTCGCTCAGAGGAGCGCGGGTGGGGTCTGGCTCTGAGCACAGCACCCCCAAAAGCGCCCGAGCTCTCTGCTGCCTGCCCGCGGAGGAGCGCCTCGGGGAACCACCAAGACAAGCAAAGAGCGAAAGCCTGGGAGAGACAAGCCTCCTGCGATGGTGATTTGAGGAAAGATCTGTTAGATGCAGAGCGGGGACATAGGCAGCTGCATCCACTCAGCGTTTTGCAGTGCGTTGGGGCTGCCTTCCTCCCGCTCGCCCGCCTGCCCTGCTCCTCGGCTGGGTCTGGCCGCCGCCCGCTGGCCACCACACCAGCAATAGCCGTGGGCAAATCGGCCTGGAGGCAACCCCCCGAATTACTGGGGACCTGCTCAAGCTGTATGGATCTATCTCATAGTCCCTGTGTTTGTCCCCAGAGGGTTGGGGGATCTGACATATCCCCCTGGGATGTCCCTGCCCCATGCCCACCCCATGGCCTCAGAGCTGGGAACAGGGTGTGCAGAGAACGGGCAGGGATGCTGCACCCATAGCTGTTTCTGATATTACCTACCATGTTTGTTCTTCTTCTGCTCCTCTTCCAGCCCCGGCACGCCCGGGATGCCCAGGAAGGTGTTGTGGGAGTTCCCATACCAAACCAGCAGCTCTTGGTCCGGAGGAATCATCTAGAAAGAGAGATACAGACGGGGGTGTCGGGAGGGGATGATGAACAGCTCCCCGTGCATCCTCAGCTGGTCGCTTCGGACCTACCCTGGCCATTCCCTATCTCCTGCCAGACCCTGCTGCCATCTGGGACCTGCCAGCAGTCCCCGAGGGCCCTGCCAGCAGTCCCTGACACCCCCCAGGCAGGCACTGCATTGCCTAGGCTGCAGCGCTGAAGGTGATGGCACGGCTCAGCACCATCCACCACCGGCACAAACCTGCACCGGAGTCTCCTCCAGGCTGGGCCACGAACAACATGACAGGCAAATAAGCAGCTACAGAGCACACAGATGGAGCTGGGGTCCCTGGAGTGAAGGACCCAGAGGTCCCTGCAGCTCAGGGAGACGAGGACACAGAGACACAGAAAAATAAGCCATTTATGGACCCGTGAACTGCAGCGAGGCACAAGTGACAGACACCAAAGCAGGGAACCACGACCCGGAGCCCCAGCCAAGTACTCCTGCAGAGTGTTTTGGCTCTGGATGGAGCCATCGGCACCCTCCTGCTCTAGGGCACAGGCAGCATCTCCCACCCGACCCCGCTGGGGCTTATTTTAGCAGGTGGAAATGCAGATGCGCTGGTGAAGGGCTCGTCAGCCCGGGGATAGGAGGAGAGCTCGGGGGCCTGCTATAGGAGAGCGTGTCTCAGGTGCAAGATGCTGCCTACAAACCAGACCAAAGCCCCAGTGCCTGCAACAGCCCAAGGAGATCTATCGGGCCAGGGAAGGGCTTTGCACCACCCACACTCCCATTTCCCCGAAACAATAGCACTTCTTCTTCCCCTGCTGTTCCCGTTATATTCCTGTACTGCTGGGGCAGCCGTGCTGGCTGGGAAGAGGGATGCTGTCATACCGGAGCAGCTGCTTCAGGCAACGCTAATAACAACATCACTTCATAAAAAATACACATTTTTTTCCCTTGCAGGTCCCTAGTGTTAAGAACCTAATTTAGAAATGGGAAAGTCCCCTGTTTCAGAGGACAGCTTTCCATACATAGAGTAGTCCAAGAAAAGCATCATCCACATGAAACACAGATCACAAGTTAGATCACCCGAGCACTGAAAATGTGCCTAATTTTAAGCACCTAAAAGCAGTGGGAATTTGACTTCATATGTTTAAGTGTCCATCTGGATAAAGACCTCACTGGGGCTGCAGAGTAGAAGTTTGGGAGGCAGGGGAAGCCGACATCATTTTGCATCCCAAGTTAGTGCTGTTTCTTGGTGTCATTTTCTCTTAACAGAAAATGAGTTATTTTTAATACAAGCAAGTAGAATAACATAATCGCCAAAAGGATAAAACATATTGCATGCGTGCATATATGTGCACATGCATGTTTATGTTCTGCTGGAGCTGATGCACACATCCCAGCAGCAGGTGAGCACCCCTATGCATACACCCCAAAGCAATTTAAATTGCCCCCCAGGAATCTCATGGCCTTCAGATCAAAGGCCAAAACTTGCTGCCCTCACTTTATTTTCCAGCAGCGGCAACACGAAATTGCTGAAGAAGAGGATGGAAAAAACAAATTAGCAAGTAAGGGCAGGAACCGGCAAAACACATGAAAAATATTAAAGGAAAATAGCGAAAAAGACACCAAATAAATCAGATTTTGTGGTGGGTAGGTGAGAAAGGCATCCTGAGAAAGGCATCCTAAAAGATATCGTGCTGGAGTCATGAGCATCCTGAGAAAGGCATCCTAAAAGATATTGTGCTGGAGTCACGGTGCAGCAGGGGTGGGTGCAGAGCGACAGGAGCCAGGCAGCTCACGGTGCCCGCCGGGCAGGAGATGCAGCGGGCGCAGGGCTGCAGGGGCAGGAGGCTGTGCCCGTGCGCAGATGCGTGTGCTGCTGAGAGAGGGCACCGCTAAGATCAGATCGGTGTTTGCATATCCTGCCCGAGACTGAGCTGTTCCAGCTGGTCTCGGGCTGATGCTGTGCTCTCGGTCCAGGATTTGTGGTGAGGGAGGTGACAAGGCAGGAGCGGTGGGTAACAAGCGGGGAGCTCGGGTCTGAGATGCTGCATTTGTGTGCCCATGACTCCACGGCAGGGGATTAACGAGCAGATAGAGAACCACAAAAGGAAAATCCTCTCTTGCTTTTCCTTTTCTTGTTGGGTGCACAAACCCCAAGGAGTTTGAACAAGCGATCGGTTTTGCACTGCATGTGTGTGCGTGCATGCGTGCCTGCAGGCGTGTTGCACGGGTGGGAATGGGGAGCCCAGAAGAGATGCGGATCCTCAACCTGTCGTGCCCGGTTGTGACCCAGCTCCTCGCACACTTCATGCTTCCCTTCCTCGCATTCTCACACGGAAAGCCCCAGCCCCTTCTGCTCCTCCTGGCACGGAGGGACCACGCCGACCCGGCAGCACCGGGAGCAGGAGCACCGCCAGGCGCCTGCTGTGCCCAGGGAGCACGCTGCAGTGTGACCGCAGGCACCCTTCATCCCCACTTTCACCTCCCTGTCACTCAGGGTTCAGCACTCTCAACATTTCAACTTTGCTGCTTGTGCTGAGGGAATTAAACTCATCCTGCTCTGGCACTCGCTGCTTCAATCCCAGGAGCAAGCCTGCAGATTGACTGTGACCGTGTGGGGCCTTTGCACGCACCTCCCCAAATATCGGCTCACCTGCCCCATCATCCGTGCACGCACAAGGTGTGAGAAACACAGCTCTACTCCTAATTACACCACGGCCACCTGGAATTATTTTACTTCTTTGCATAATTTAAGAACAGTAATAAAAAGCAATTAAGCTGCTGTCACAACAGGCACAGCTGCCCACAAGAATATCAGGTCTTAAAAACAGGTACAGCTGAAACCTATGGAGGGGTGTCCAGGATGGGGAGAGCAGCACAGAAGCACTTGGGGCTCTAGCAGCATTGCACGGGGAAAGGCAGCAGAGCCCTGAGGAGGCACACAGGACTCCCCCCCCCCGCAGAAGAAAATACCTGTTCTCTTCTTACCCACCCACTCGTCTTTCCCATCCCACTGCGGCAATCCCAAACCCAGCCCTGACGCTGGCTCAATGCAGGACTGAGCCGTGGTCCTGTGCCGTGGACATTTGAGCATCTGCTCCTCTGGAAGCCAGCGCAGGAGCCCAGATAAATCCGGGGAGAAGCCCTTGCCCACGGAACCAGTGGGCACTTGTGCTGCTTCCCAGCTAAGACCCTCTCCCAGCTGCGAGCAGCCACAGGAGCCCACGCTCCTGAGCATGTGAGACTCTGGACCCGATGTTGGAGAGGGACAGTTCCATGGTGCTGGGCTGGGATGGAATGGGAGATGTTCCCTCTCGCGACTCTAAGCTGCAGGAGCTGCTCAGGGACACCTCCCCGAGCTACCACCTTCCTCCACCTGCAACAGCATCGGGGTATGGGGACGCTGTGCACAAGCAGGGCTGGTCCCCGCCGTCACACCGCTGGCACTGCGTGACTTGTACGCATGTAGCATCAACACTGCCAGGGAGCTGGACACCAACCTCCATCCCAGCATCTCCCGCAGGGAGCTGCAGAATGGGGGTACCTCCAGCCTTCACCCCACAGCACAGCAGCCTGGGACATCCCTGGGACCCAGCGCCTGCCCCTGCACCCCCACGGGGCCAGCACCCACCAGCACTTCGTATGGAAGTGCACGGATGAGGCCCTTCTCCATGGCCCACTGCGACAGCCCGAGGCACGGCTGCGCCAGCACCGCACCCTCTGCCCGGTTCGGGCAGCCCCGATCCTCCTCTCAAGCTCCGTTTACAGCCAGAGCTGCTTGTGACCCCCCCGGGCGAACACTGTGCAGAGTCAGGCACAGCCTGCACTCGGCACCTGGGTTTCACAGAAACCCCCCAAACTTTTCCCTGCTACAGAGAAGCAGGTTCTGCACAAAATCCCATTTTTCGAGAGAGCAGCAAAACCCTGCTCCTGCCCAAAGCCCCAGCTGGGCCAGGGTTGCAGCTCATTTCACACTTTACACCCCAAAACAAGCTTGGGCAGCGTTTGCTCTCCCTCTGCTCAGCACATGTCACCCCATGAGCCCACAAAAGGGGACAGAGAGGAGAAGGGCCACTCGCTGCTCTCTGGGGTCTCCCTGAATGCCTTGCAATGGCCTTTCCCAGGGGATCTTGGTGCCAGGGATGGCAAAGCCACCCTGTGCTCCCACAGACGCCCCAGCCACAGCCCAAAGAACAAGGCAGGGTCTGTGGGGTGGGGGATCCCAGCACCCTGCTCCCCCTCCTGCGGCTGCCCAGCTGCCTCCCAGCCCCACTTACCTCAATGGCCTTGTAGAAGATGCTGTTCCCGATCTGGACCACCTCCAGGTTCTGTTCCTGCTCATTCCGGGCGCATTTAATGTAGGTCATCCAGCTGCGGTGGTCCTCCTGGCTGGCATCGATGGAGGAACGTGCCGCCTT